CTCATAAAGAGTATACAGGCCTGAGGTTACGCTTTCCCGTATCTCTCTCTTGAGATTGCTTGACTTTTCCAGTTCGGATTTTGTGCGTTGCAGTATCTCGTTTGCATGTCTCGGTAGTTCAGGAACATTCGACTGCCACTAATAGAGCGTGTCGAAGCGTCTAGGGAAGTATTGGTGTCTTTACTATCGCAGGCGGAGTCAAGAGGATCTTCCGCCTCAGACAATCTTCTTGTAGCCTCCTGGACTTCTACTGCTTTTGCCTGGCGTATCTGGGTTTTTATGCGAAGCAGACTTGATTCTGGTCTGTTAACCATAGGAGAAGACGTAATAGCCTCATCAAGCTTAAGTGATGGGCTAGTTGCTTCTAGAGTTGGAGTTTGCTCAGTTTCCTCCTAAATGCAGGTTGGCAATATCTGGCGACTAGATTGTACTGGCGACTGCGTGGGGAATTCCGCAGCTGCGTGAGCTCTTGATGCCAGTGCGCTCGCTTCCCCACTAGTTATAGTTTTAGGAGGTTCTTTACTAGCCTTGGTGGAACAGATATTGCCTTTCTTTTTGGGTATTACCTGTTTGTCTGAGGAACTAGCTAACGATCTCTTTGATTTGTCAGACATGATGCTTCGTGTCAGGGAAAGATAATAAGTCTCTTTCTTTGTTGATAATAGAGTCGACTCTATTTTTTTTTACTATTGGTCTTATGTTATTCTGCTGGAGGATATTTTGGGGATATAAGCAGTGAAACCCGCGTTTCGATACGATGAGCCGTTCAGGAGTTATGATTGTTCAAAGTTTTCCAAGATGGCGGACAAAGATGGCCATAAATATTAAAAACTCTGATAACGTTAGATCTGTATCTCTTAAAATAGTCGAGTTTGGGCTCAATCGCTTCGGCTTACAACCGTATATCCGTTGGTGACCTTGAAATAAGACGTAATTTGCAAGGTTGAGAATCAGCAGATAGATTCTCCAAGGCAACCTTATGCCTATGTTGAAAACCCCAACTTTCTACTGTACGCCGTTCCGGAGATATGAAATTTTAAAACTTTTCAATATGGCCGACAAAATGGAGGAAAATTATTAAAATTGGATTATTCAGCCACAAAACTACGTAAATGGGTCGTGTTTGGGCTCTATGGATAGGTTTTAATAAGAACTAACGTAAAGTAATATCTTCAGGCCTGAAAAAATGTTCAGGAACGAGTTATCCAGAAAAAACAGTAAAATACGTGTAGCTTTTAAACTAGAAAAGATATATTCGATCCAAAAACGGGAAAATGATAAGTAATTTGTACTCTAACTTTTCACGTAATTATTTTAACCGTAAGTATTTGGAAGGGGGAGCACGTGGAGGAGTATTTTCACGAAAAAGTCAATTTGCCGGAAATTGTCAAGCGAAAAAATCAGAAATTCTATCAACGGCTTACAAGGTAAATAACCTATTAAAAAACGTTACAAAAATTATATGTTGTCGCTTAATTTTTAGAATTGTTAGATGATGAATTATAACAAAATTTTTAAAAATGACTTTTTCGCTTATAACTTTTAGAACAGTGCACCGATTTTGTTGCAACAAACTAATAAATATCAGAATTAGAGAAGGTTATAAGAATAGCTCTTCAAAACAAGCCGCACGATCTTAGTATAAATTTTCTTTGCCACGTGGTTTTTCAGTTTTTGTTTTATAACTTCTGAAATATTTGCGAGAAAAATCTGAAAAATGTGTCAAATTGTAGAGCTAACTAAGCAGCATACATTGCATTAATAAAAAATGTAGGTTCACGATCTGAAAATCGCGGCGTACGCGATTATATGTAAAATTTTGCCACAAAATTTTACCTTGACGCGTTTTCTGGTCCAAGATTTCCAGATTATCCACAAAATTGAGACACTTGTCACTTAAAACACTGCTTTCACTAGTAAGATGGTATAAAACTGCACCCAAAACCACTTGTTGCACGAAAATCGGAGCACTATTACCCACTTTTCTGAATTTTTAGAGACGGAGCGACACGGAAACGATGCGTACAGCACGAGGGACGGCGGAATATCCCTTACATCTATATTGATCCATTGTGGTATGTACGCAGTCCCTATAGCAACACAATAACCATTGACACGAGTCGATAACCACATCTGCTCAATTAGCTCATTAGGCCTGGTCAAATATCTCACGTTGACGACGCGTTTAATATAAAAGGCGAGTCCACGCCCCCGGCCGCCGCGCATATGTAGCGGGCGCGGGGCGACTCTGAGTCGGTAGCCGGGCACGGCCGGCGCACGCGCCTCTTGTCCACTGAATCCATGATTCGATAATCGCAACTATATCTGGGCTATAACGATTCATAGCAATAAGAAAATTATCATGTCCCGTATTGAGTGATCCCGCATTGTAAAGACCTAACATAAATAACTTTGATTGCGATTTTATTATAACGTAAAAAACAAAATAAATTAATTCTAAAAGAACACCGACGACTAAATAAACTGGAATGCAGCATAAGTGTGATGAAAATGTTTTGAGATTGACATGTCATATTGCGCTGCATTTTTTCTCGATATCGGTTAACTGTTGTCGCTGCAACAGCGCCCACACAATACCCATACAATACTAATAAACAAAACATATATTAATACATAATTATGATAAAAGAAGGTTGAAAATGTATCACGAATTCCATCATAACATTTAAACAAGTCATTTAACAAAGTATAAGTTACATTACATTGCCTTTTATTTATATTTTGTGATTCCAGTGCGCTAAGATACAAAAATGATGAAAATGCATTGACTAAAATTTTGAGACAATTAAAAAATGACCAGTAGAAGATACAGCTAACAAGTAACATAACATAACAATAGTAGGTACTACATAAATGATATTGTTTAAAACATGCTAATAGCTTTATCCAATAAATGTAAATTAAAGTAATACCATATAAATAATAAAAAATACAGCTGCAGTTAATCATTTTTGATAAGAGATCCACTAACAGCATCAGCCCCAAAAACCCGGCTCAAGTCCCTCTCCGTACGAATACGCTGACGCGGGGACTCAGCTCCCTGGTGCCGGCGCGCGTATATCCTACCGTCCCCCCTTGTCTAAATGAACCGCCAGCCCAGTCTACTTCCGAGTTCACGAGCTTGCCAAAAAAGCCACCGGTTGACTTTCGTTAGTCTCTCATTGACGTAGAATCGGCGGTGCGGAGCAGGTAACCCGGTGCCCTCGGTGGTGATACCGCGACGAACGCGAGTCGCCGTCAGCACCTGATCCTTAAGAGCGCGTCTGCCAAGCTTCACGACTATAGGACTCGGGCGCGGCTCCGGCACAGATTCTGAGTACACATATACCCTTCCCACCCGTGTGGCGCTGACTAAATTGTTCTCAGAAAGGTTGACACCCAACTTCACGGCCAGAGTGGTGACAATGTGTATTAAGTTTTCACCCTTCTCTTCAGGGATGCTAGTAATCTCTATATCATTACACGATAGTTCCTGATCACGCTCATTGAGATCACACTTTAGTTGCTCAATTGTATCCAGCAAAGAACCAACATCGGTCGACGTACTACTATCAGCAAGACGACCTTCCAGGATGCCCACAAGGGCTTCTTAGCTTTTCAATTTTTCTATCGGATTCATCAATTCTAAGCGCTAAACCAGCCAAAGTGCCATTCAGTAATTCCATTTGGAGACGTGTGGCTCTCATTTCCTCTTTGAATTGACGTATCTCCATCAAAAGCAATTGTAGGTCTTTTGCTGGTATAGTTTCACTCTGCGCTCTGTCGTCGTCTAGTGAGTCGGCAGTGCTGCTGCACCTCTATTTCTATTGACCCCTTCTACACCCACACGTACCGGGGTATCTGTATTGTCGGTTTTCGGCTGTTTACTAATACATAACACACATTTCCATTTAGCCTTTTGATCCCCTGTCATGCTATTAAAAAGACTCAATTTAATGTTGGCGTACTGGAGGTCGTAGTGCTGCTGGCACATACTGCATTGAAGATGTTTCTTTGTCACAATCGGGTTTCGGCAACCAACACAATCAATTTTGTTCGGCATTATGATTATACTTATATTAAGAACAAACAAGAAAAAAGAACAAAAAAAAAGAGAAAAGTAAAATATCAATTAATAAGCAAACTGCAACAACAAAAAAAGCGCAAAAAGCTACTGAGATCTGGATTTGATCCACCGTTTGTAGTTAAAATCACTACGTTGAAACGCTATACCAAGCGACCGATAGCAATTGCAGCGAAAATAGCCAATAAAAGCAAAAAGGTGTCCTCACACACTGGTCAATTATTGGGCGGATGACCGGTTTAACTTTCAAGGTGACACGGCACAGATCTAATGTTAAAACACAGTTGTATGAGTTATTAAACGTTTATTTACGCACTATCACTTGAAATTCCGAACTGACACATACACAAAACGATAGATAATTTTGTAAGGATTACACTGATAAATAGTTACTGCATAAATACTGGTTTTACTGCATGATATGATTTTTAAACTTAATTTCAAGTATACAGACGTGCGGTCAGTAACTCGTTCAACTCGTCACTCTCTATCACACGGACTTATAATTCGATAACGATTATAACAATGACAATAAAAATCACTCTTACCTTTCAAAATCATCAGGAAGCTTAAAATACAATAGCTCCGGTTTTTATGAAGCAGAGTTCAAACAGCCGTATAGGTATCACGCAATACGTTCGTGGCATTTTTAAAGTCTTGACGCGACACTCGCTACTGAGAGCACCGCGACGAGCGCTTAGAAGTCTCGTCGTTGCGCATGTTTGTGTGAGTGTGCCGTTTCGAGCGTTTGTAGATAGTTTCCGTACTGTTCCTACTATATATTTATACTGTGACCATGATCTAAAGTGCTTTAAAAAGCTGTCCTTTGTGGTATATACAATAAAGATAAAATTCCGAGCCCACGCGATAGTTGAAATTGAACATGTACACAAAAAAAACAGGCATAAATACTAACCCTAGCAATATTATCCAACAGTCTGTGCCCAGTCCTATTACTGACATTGTACAAACCAGTGTACTTGCTTTGCATTTCAAGCAAAATCTCATTAGTGCCAGTTAACAGGAGCTGAAAATGTATGAAACGGAATTATTTAAATAAAAATATTTATTTCAATAAATATGTTATTTTATAATAATAACCCAATCTCTATTGTTTTGCCTGTCTTGTAGAAGAAGGCAACTAAATATTTTCATATCCATAGAAATAGATCATGGGACAGTTATCTAACGCGTTATTAAATCAAATACAAAATAATTTTAGGTAAAATTTAAATTCATCATCATCATCATCATCATCATTACAGCCTTTCATAAGTCCACTGCTGAACATAGGCCTCCCCCAAGGAATGCCAAAAAATACCACAAATTTAAATTGTTAAGTATTAAATCCAATTACAATATGATAATCTAGTGTAGAACAAATGCCCGCTTGCTAATACCTGGCGTATTGCAGCCGCAGAACAAATAATTGTGGAAATATTGTTTGAAATTTGGAAGAGTTATATTGTTTAATTAGGAACGACAATACATTCATTGAAGTTGAATGATATCTTTCAAAGTTGTCGGTTTGATACGCCCGACATTTACTTGAAGTTAACTGTACTATGCCTATAACCTTCGCGCAAGTGCAACCATTAAGTTGACAAAGTTTTACCGCAATCTGATGAATGGTATGGCAGCGCATAAAATACGAACAAACAAAAATTGATTTTTATATATTAAGATATGTAATAAGAAATAAAATGATATTATGGGATTAAGTTATAATGGGAGGATTATTTCGGTTAACAACGAGCAAATAAATGACACCCGTAAGCCTTTTCACTAGCGCCGACGAAGGTGAGCAGCGACACAAGCGATTTTTCATTACGATTAACAGTAATTCCGAAATATATTGCTGCCATATATATATATATATATATATATATATATATATATATATAATATTGATAATATTAGCGAGTGGAGTCTTATCCCAGTTAAGTTTAAGAACCCACAAGTTTTTAATTAATAATTCAGCGTAAAGTATTTGTCCACGTCCTCTCATTATATCATCCTATTATGTTGTATGAGAATGAATTTTATTTTGAAAAAGTTGAGTGTCATTTGAATGAAAGCAATTATCTAATATTAGATGTTTTCTTCAACCTGTTAGAGAATTGAGAACAAAAATATCATAAAATCGCAATTACCTCTTCAGGAGTTGATTCCTTTGGTATACGTAATGCTTTGCGCTTCTTAAGAGGAATCCCTTTTGGTTTTATGTTATGAGGCAGCTAGAAAAAAACATGTTATTATACCGGGTTATATTTAAAATATTTAGAAATCGTGTTCCTTTGTTTAAACCTCCCAACCTGGACCAATTTGAATTTTCATTTTAAAGAAGAAAGTAAGAGTTTTATCTTATGTATATATATATATATATATATATATATATATATGTATATATATATATATGTATATATATATATATAGAGTTTTTATTATGTCTGTATGTTTTACAAGTTCCTTAATTTTGTTTGCTGAATATACAGGGTTATTTTTCAGAGTAGCCAAATTTTAAGCTTAAGTTCAAATATATAAATAATGATATACCTATTGTTATTGCAGTTTTCGAAAATACGAAAGGCTTCTACTTTTATATGAAGTTATTCCAAATTGAATGTGATTTATGGGCGACAATGTTTTTGCCTACCGATTGATTGTTACGAATGTGTGCGTGCCACGGAGCAAATACAAAGAGGCGACGGCATAAGCAACTGTGCACTGTGATTCTAACAAGGTCCTGACGTCATCACAGTGGGCGTGGCTTTAGTTAGTATACTATCAGCATTCGTCCTGTGTGCTTAAAATAACCCTGTAGCAATGTGGTCTTTTATTTATTTATATTACTTGAAAGTATAAAAAAAGCTTTATGTCTTTCAGAGAGCTATGAAGAGATAGTCTATGGGCCATAACATCCACTTACTATCAGGTGGAATGTGTGTCGTTTGTTACCCATATTCTATTAAAAAACGCACTGGAGAAGCTCTCGGAAATGTATTGGAAGAGACAACGACAAAATGTAACTCAACTTTTTTGGTGCTTACATGATCTGGTTATGGCCGATTTCGACAACGGCAGCTTCCAGCTAATCAAAAGTCTGCTGCTAAACATAGACCTCCCCCATAGATTGCCTCATAGGAGGGAGGGTATTTTTAGTTGCTATTAGGAAGATGCTGCTGCTCATTTCCTGATTTGTTTCCTTCTGTCGCCTCTTCCGACACTGATGTTAAAATATACTACCACTACACACCAATCATACGGCCAAATATAGATGACAAATCAAAGAGAGATCAAAAAGAGAAAGACAATCTCAAGTTTAAGCTCAAATTGTTATAACAAGATATCAATTCATATTTATTTTGTAAGAATATCTCTAATTAATTTCTGCTGCCAAGCAATAGTTCATCCATTGTAGTAATCAGCTTTGAAGTGTTTAAGACAAATGTTTGGGATCATTTTCTAAAATTGCTTCATAACTGCTAAGCTCCATCATCATTATAGTTGTAAAAAGTAAAGTAAAGTTGCAGCCTATTTATGTATGGCCTGCTAGGCACAGGCCTCCTCTCATTTCTGAGAAGGCTTTAGGGCAAGGAAATGTTCGCCGCACTGCCCCAATGCGTGTTGGCAAACTTCACATGTCTTTGAAATATTTTTTTCTTATTTCTCAGACATGCAGGTTTCCTCACGAGGTTTTCCTTCACCGCCGAGCATGTGGCAAATCAGCACTTAAAATTGCAATTAACAATTTCATTGGTGCCGGCAGGGATCGAACCTAGGTTGCTAGCATACTGGGAAGCTAACCATCTGAGCTACCACTAGTTGTAATCTCTCTATATTAGTTTCATGAATTATATTATATATCTTCATACATCTTATATTATTTTCTTATAATATATATTTTATATGTTAATATGTATGTGTATACTGATGTATATATGTTTGGTGTATGTGTGTGTAATATGTATGTATATGAATGTATATGTATGTATATGTACATGTATTTCTTTGTAACTGCCTTCGTAGTTCTATCACTGCCCTAAGGTTGCCTGGTAGATAATGTTTCTAGCATTAAGTTCGCCTTTTAATCCTGTACTTAATATGTAAGGTTCAATAAAGTTAAGAAAAAAGTGTATGGTGTAAATATATCTTAGCCCTCATAGTTAATAACTAGCTGTTCCCCACGACTTCGCCTGCATGTTTTAGGGTTTTAATTTTTTTTCTAAAATAAAAGTAACCTAAGTTACTCCTTATGATATCAGCTATCTACCGGTAAAGTCCTGTCAAAATTGGTCCAGCCGTTTCGGAGATTAGCGGGAACAAACAGACAGGCTGACAGACAGACAAAAATTTTAAAAAGTGTATTTTTGTTATAAGTTATATACGTTTATACTTTCATATGCATTTACTGTAATTTTAAAATTACAAACAGACACTTCAATTTTATTTATTTGTATAGATGAACCTGTAGCCTTCTGTTGTCTAACTGATTACCCGAAGACAAATATCTACAGCAGGCTCTAGACACCTTTTACACAGCATATTATGTCATGTTACTTAAAAAAAAACTAAGACTACATACATTTGGTAAGCCATCCAGTTTTGAAGCTCGAAGTTTTACTTTCCCAAATTGAGTTCTGTTGATTTTTGCCACAATAAACAATGGATCCAGTCTTTCTGAAAGGCGAAGATAACATATCCTGCCCTGTTTGGTGGTTTGAAGGGTAAGTGCTTCAAAATTCCCATTGATTGTCTTTACCGTCTTTTCTATCACTGTTTTCATACTCCACTAGAACAAAAATAAATAAGCGTATATGATCCACTTTTTTTTCATTACAAAAGATATACTACCACAACAAGCCTACAAAGGTAAGGGTAAAAGGCAATTGAGCAAATTTAAAAACTTTCAATATTACACAAAGAGCCCTATCAAACTCTTTGAGCTTGTGCCTAAGAACCCATTGCTTGGTTACTCACAGTAAATGAAGAGCAAACCACATAGCTGGCCTGTAGAAAAAGACTGGCGATAAGTTGTCACTCGGAGAGAGCATGACGAGCCAACTTCAAGATCTACTGGGGAGATTTAAATTAAGCCTATGTTCCAATACATCTTGGTTGAAAAGGAGGAGGGGAAGACATCCTCTCCCCCGAAGCGGGGCCGCAAAGGGGTGGATAGCGGCTTTACCTTTACTTTTTTAAAGCCGGCCCTAAGTGCTAAATTCAAACACCCTTGGGTAGAGTAGGTAACAGTAAAACCTCCTATAATTAAAATATAAAATAGTCTAGTTAATAAAGTAAATTACACCAATACTGTTTAACTACACTTGAAAATATTTTACCGAGGGAGGAATTCCTTTTAAAGCAATAATGGACATTTTGAACTACAAGGAATTCTTCTTCGAATTTTTCTATCAAGTGCAAGTATCAACAAAAAAATTATAAATTCATAATAAATTCTTTTTTTTATAACAGGCTTTACGGCTCTGGGTTCTAGCCAGGGAGAGGAAAGTTAGTAGTAAAAATTTGAAGTCTAAAATGTATGGCAACAGGCTGACAGGCTCCCTCTTACGACGTTTCGCGAAAAAAGTTTGGCGCTATTTTTAATAAAATGTCAACAGGTACTCTATTGTCAACATCGCCATTCGCGATTTTCTATGAGATCCATTACCCTCTAAAGTATATTATCTATGAGCGCCATTATGCATCACGTTCATGAGATTAAGGCCGGCCACATACATACGGAATTACGTTTCGATATTCCGTTTCGGAATTCCGAACGGGTCGGCCACACACATACGGAATCCAGTTTTGCCCGCAAAATGTCGAACGGAAAACGACCGTACGTGTGTGGCGGGTCATAGATTTTATATGGACTTGCTGCGTTCGGGATTCCGAATCGGAATATCGAAACGGAATACCGAAACGGAATTCCGTATGTATGTAGCGAGCCTTAGTTTGTTAAGGTGGAAGCTCCAGGGTGGCCCGCGAAATTCAAATTTTCTTGCGTTTTTTGGAATTTGCAGGTCAGGGTTAGGTTGTATATTTAACAAAATATGATTCGCGACCGTAGCGATTATGTGTTTACAGAATTATTATCATTAAAATCACCAATACAACCCTGTAAGTTCATATTAGCCCTTTGAATGATTTTTTCGAAAAAATAATTCAACAGGAATATTTTCACTACTAAAAAGATATGTGATTACCAATTTGAATCAAATTACATAAGAACAGGCCATCGTTTAATCATAACAGCTGTTACAACTTTGTATCTTTTTGGAGAAGTCCTTTTGAAACAATTTTATGTTAAACAGCTTTTTCATGGTGTTTGTAAGTTAATGAGAATAATTTTGTGCCAAATAACACTATAATTATATACATTATAATTTTTGACCTCTATAATTTTAAGTCTTTAAGTTTTGCTAAGAAGTATATTTTTAGAGAAGTTTTCTATTTTTAAGAATTGTTATGGCAAATAATAAGAACCAATATGTGATTTTTGATCTCACTGATAAAGTTTTATAAATAAAACATGTAAGTTAACTCCTATTTTCTCCTTTTCTCCACTATTTAATGCATACTGCTCATCATGTTCTAACAAAAATATAAAAATGATACTTTTAAAATATATAAAGTAGCATTTGAAAAGATCTTGCCGTGTAGTGGCGGTTAAGAATATCCACTACCCCATATCTTCCCGTAGGTGTCGTAAAAGGCGACAAAGGGAAACTGGCAGGACATGGGCAGCAGCATCCTCCTGATAACATTAAAAGTACAATAAAAAAACTGCTGTTGCCAACCCGCTCGCTAAGCGTGGCAACTATAGCAAATACCCCCTAATGATTAGAGCATTTCTTGGGGGAAGCCTATGTTCAGCAGTGGACTTGTGAAGGGCTGTAATGATGAATGATGACTTTTAAAAGCAATAACATCCTTTACTGTGCAATGCAACATCACAGACAAATGTTAATGAAGTTATAGTATAAAAGAATAGAATACCATAGAATCATTTTTAACATATAGATTACATGTAATTCTTATTGAAAGCAATTTTTTAATATTATTACTACTGGTTCCAAAAAAACCTTTGTCTTGAGGGAACCAGCAAGAAACCCTGTGGGACTTTAACCTTTTGAGGTATTGTATACAATTAGTATGAAAACAGAAACAGCATGGTAGTATCACCCTATTGCTAGGGGTTATTTATCAACCACGTACACTTTAGTAGCACAATAAATCTTTATTAAACAATTTTTGCTTAATAAAAATTTTAAACTTTTTGTTAGATAAGGCCTGCATATTTTCTGGGGCTTAAGTGTATACATTGCCCCATGATGGAATTACTGGCTCTTTGGACTCGAGTAACTTGTATAACTAACTTGTGCTTGTTTCTAGTATTTACAGAATGTACATCACTATTTTTACATAAAACTATGTTTGTTCTTCGATTTGGATGATTTTTTTTTATTTGAAAGCTGGTACTTCTCGTGTGATCCCATATGGATTTGATCAAAGTCAGACCAATAGTTTTGAGTTATTCTTAATAACTCATATTGAAGTCGCCTGTACAAAATTTTTAATTTTAAATTATATTTATTTAAAAAAAAAACTATCAAACTATGAAATATTTAATTCCTTATATTTTAGTATCAAACAATATTTTCTAACAATTTGCTTAGTAGGGAAGCAAATATAGTCTGGTATATGAATATCCTATACTAAAATATATAATTTTACAACATTTATTGCAAATTTCTACATTGTAAATTCCAATTTGAAAAAGCTAATGTATAAATTAAACATTTTCAGATAAACAGACGAAATCGGATACTAGCCTAAGAAAGTTGTTACAAAAGTTTGCGAGAAAACTTAAATTTCAATTAAAGAAGTCTAGAAAAACTATAAAAGATTTTAGGACTTGTCTATCAAATGCAGAATAAATGAGTAATCAAGTAGCATTTGAGAAGATCAGCAAAAAGATCACATTTGCAGCGAAGGTTTTGTTATAGCTGTTTAGAATCATTTATTGAAAAAATATGTTTCATATTTTGTATTGTCAAAACTGTTTATGAATCGTTTATTGCTGTTTGGGATCATGTATTGTATAAATATTATTTTTATGCTTAGTTTTGTTATAGCTGTTTAGAATCATTTATTGTAAAAAATATTATTTTTGTACTTTGTTATAGCTGTTAAGAATCGTATCTCATAAAAAATATTTTCATAGTTTGTATTGTGAAAGCTGTTAACAATGACTTATTATAGAAATATTGGTTTCATAATTTGTATTGTCTAAGCTGTTAAGAATCATTTATTGTTAAAATATTAGTTTCATACTTTGTATTGTGAATGCTATGTTATAAGAATCGTTTATTGTAAAAATGTTAGTTTGTGTGTCGCGTAGTAAGAATATCCACCAGTCCATATCATCCCGTGGGTGTCTTAAGAGGCGACGGAGGGAAACGAATCAGAAGACGGACAGCAGTACCTTCCTAATAACGACTAAATTTAAAAGCTGCGGTTGCTGCAAGTCGCTTGCCAAGCGTCGTAACTATGGTAAATATCTCTTCTATGAGGCGATTGTCGAAGCTGTGTTCTGATTCACTGTTCGAAACGACACCAGACGGCGCTAGTACTCCTTAGTTGACAGATTTCGCACGAGTGGGCTCTTTTTTCCTGTATAGGACAGTTACTATACTCTTTGATTCTAGCCCTACTGAGCTTGAAGTTACAATGTATAATTATTCTTCAGCTTACACTGCTTCACAATATGCTGATGCATCACATTGTGCAGCCCTTGGGAGATGTTGACGGTAATTTGAGCCAGCAGACAGCTGACAGTTGGCGATGATATCTCAAGGCGCCTAAGCAGACAGACACCTTGAAAGTCACACCCAAGGCCGTAGCCAGAAAATAATTATGGGGGGTTTGATTTGATGGAACAGTAGAAAAACATAAAATCGTTTAAATAAAAGTCTTCTAGCTTTCTTTGCAACGAGCAAATCAATTACCTTCTCGGTGTCCGATGTCAATTCTGCGGTGTATTGACATTAATGCCAAACCATGTAATCTTTCCTGGCCTGTGGAGTTTCTCAAATAAGTTTTGAGGCATTTCAGAGAAGAGAAAGTCCTCTCAGGAGTACATGTAGAAACAGGCAGTGTCACCAAGATCTTTAAAATTTGTGAATGTTTGGAAATAAGGCCTGGTTGCATTCTCCGAAAGCTTCAATAGCACATGTTGGTCGATCTAGTTCAGATTCTTCAACCCATTTTATCCATCATATGTCTAATTCACTTTTACAAAGTCCCATTCCAAATATTTTTATAGTGGCTTTATGAATTTGGAATCTCGTTTGAAGCTGATCAACGAAATCATCCAAAAGTGGAATCATTATAGTAATTCTAAAATAAGTTTCAGGATCTTTTGTGTTGTAGTTTGCCCTATGCTCTTGGCGTGACGTTATTCTCGGAATTTTCATTTCCTCGTTTACAGTACTGAGCAAATTCTGTGCATTCTTGAAAATGAACAATATTTTGACGAACATCTTCAATAGTATTTATAATTAAATCGACATGTTGTAAAGCTGCTGCCAAATCGCATAGGGGAGATTGAAGTAATTTGCATAGTGTCAGTGTGTACGGGAACAACATTCTTAAGTAACATAAGATTTTGTTTTACAAAATCACTTGAAATGACTGATCTCAGAAAAGAATTAACCTTTGACGATGTTTCAGAATCCATGTCAGTGCTTAAGTCGTCTAGTGTATCAACAATAGCTTTATGAATTTCTTTAAATCTTAAACACCCATCATGATTTTCTACCCAGCGGGTCTCGCACATAGCCGTAAGGTTTTTCCATTGTGTTTCAGAGAAGTTTTTTTTCGATATTATCTTTTAAACACTTAGTTCGTTTTGACGAGGACTTGATAAAATTTCCAACCGATTTTATAATTCCAATAGTATACCGAATAGGCTGAACCTGGCAAGAATGACCCAGAGCTAAATTCAATGAATGTGAGCTGCAATGAACGGATGGATGTGACTCACGAATTACTTCCTGTACACCTTTAAAACTTCCTTTCATCGAAGAAACTCCATAATATCCTTGTGCGATTAAATATTCGCAATCTACTCCCAAGGATTTTATTTCAGATAAAATTGCATTAGATAAATATCTTCCTTTTGTATTCTCAACTGTTACAAAATTTTAAAAATCTTCACGCAAGATAAACCCATTATCTTTTGGCTCGGCATATATTAGACAAATGGAAATCTGTTCTTATCATGAAACATCAGTAGTTTCGTCAACAAGGAAAAACAACAAAAAAAAATTCGCAGAATTTAATCCTTGCACAATTTTTTCTTGATTATTTCACTACAAATTGCAATAAGTTCATTTTATATAGTTGGGCTTAGGTTGGTAGCGTTCAACGTCAT